TCATACCAACTGATGTAGAAATTAAGGATATCCTCTCTTCTATCACAAAAAAGAACTCCTCAGATTGGGATGAAATTTCAGTTAATCTTCTTTCATATCTTCCAGAACATACATAACATGTTTTAGCAGAATCAATCATTCATTTTGGACAGAATCATTCAGTGGTTTTTGTATAAATAGCAAATGTTATACCTGTGTACAAGGGTGGTGATCATAATAATTGTCCACTTTGGTAAAAATAATTGAAAAATTGGTTGTAGCTTTCTTAAAAAATAAGCCAAACTTAAAATGACATTTCCATTTTGAGCTCTACTTATTTCTTAACTACTAAATGACTTAAGATGCAGAAGGTCTAAACACTTGGTCCCAATTTAAGCCCTACTGGAATCATATTTTTTTCTGCAGGTCCAAGTCTGTCCACCCAAATAACTCCTTATTTAAATAATCTAAATATTAACAATTCATTTTATTTTATACCAACTGATGTAGAAATTAAGGATATCCTCTCTTCTATCACAAAAAAGAACTCCTCAGGTTGGGATGAAATTTCAGTTAATCTTCTTTCATATCTTCCAGAACACACATAACATGTTTTAGCAGAATCAATCATTCATTTTGGACAGAATCATTCAGTGATTTTTTATAAATAGCCAATGTTATACCTGTGTACAAGGGTGGTGCTCATAATAATTGTCTACTTTGGTAAAAATAATTGAAAAATTGGTTGCTAGCTTTTCTTAAAAAAACACAGATTGGATTAAAATACTATTGATGCATGTTTTCTTTTTTAGATAAATTTAAATGATAACAGGGTTTAATTTCAGTTGGACAGGATCAAATGTGCATTCATTCAATGACCAGAAATTAAAATTTCAAATCCATGTTGATAGTTTGTGTAAGAAGCTGTCCTTAGAATGTTTTGCAGTAAGAATTGTTGCATACAACTTTTGGAAGGGTAGAATCCCATCTGCGATATGCTATAAATTTCTGGAGTATGTTCTGAAGAGAGCCACAATACATCTGTGCAGAGTTGATGCTGGTGTTTCTTGTAAACCACACACTCACACACTCACGTGTCTGTCTATTTTAGAAATGCTTTTAAAAACTCTAAATGTAATATTACATCCAGCAATACTCAATAAGGTACTCAATAAAATAAATAAGATTACAATTATTTCTGTTAGTGTTAACAATACTTATATAATTATTATTAGGTGAAGTTGGGTTAATTAATTCACATATTAACAAACTGTACAGTTTGTCCTGTAATTGGGTTTTTTCCTGTTGGGACATTAAACAATTTTTTTTTTAATACTCGAAGATTTTTTTACCTTCCCTTGCCTATACCCTCTTCCTGTTTGGTACAAGGCTCTATTGTGTATAGCAGGAAGATGTTTAACCAACTACCAATTAGTATAAGTCATTAAAAATATTAAAAAACAGGTTAGGAACTCTAGATCGAAAAAGCCATTACAAATTATATAATTTTTCTATGATCAATTAAGTAGTTCATTATAATTTATGTACTTAATATAAAATATATTTTCAGAGTGTCATATTTGTACCTGGTACTGAATGATATAAGGTCTATACACTTGTAAAAATCTGCATGATTTTCATAAGTATAGTTACTTAAGTTAAACATTTTTTAAATGCACAAAAATCTGGAATAGTCTATGAACATTTCTCAAAATTATAGATAAGATCCTACTTGGCTCAAAAAATACAAAAATTAAAGAGAAAAAATAAAAAATAAATGAGTTAAATACATTTTTTTAATAGTCAATGTCACAAATACCGTTATAGATGGAACTAGGAGAAAAAACCTATTTAGAATGTTAAAAAATTGATAAAATTGTAAATTTCAATATTTATCTTAAAAATAACAAACAAATATTTGTTTAAACTTTTAAAAAACCTGTGACTCCCAAAGTTATGTATACTGTATAAAATTTTAAAAAACTGACTTCAAAATCAAGCAGATGCCATCACTATATCCTAACCAAATTTATTTGGGACCACCCCTGAGGTACCCCCTTATTAACAAAAAAAGAATCATAGAAATCAGACAGTGGTAAAGAATTATCGCTAAATATACATAGAAAATGAAGAGTTTAAAGATTTTATCATGGACCCATTTTTTAGATTTTGACCAAATTTATATGGGACCATCCCTGAGGCACCCTCTTACTAACAAAAGAGATTCATATAAATCAGACAAGGTGGTAAAAATTATTGCCAAACATATAAAAAATGAAGAGTTTGAGGATTTTATCATGGACCCAATTTTTTGATTTTGGCCAAATTTATATGAAACCATCCCTGAGGCATCCCCTTACTAACAAAAAAAGATTCATAGAAATCCGACAAGGTGGTAAAGAATTATCACTAAACACATAAAAAAATGAAGAATGAGGATTTTCTCATGGACCCAATTATTAAATTTTGACAAAATTTATATAGGACCACCCCTGAGGTACTCCCTTAGTAACAAAAGAGAATCATATAAATTGGATAAGGTGGTAAAGAATTATCGCTAAATATACATAAAAAATGAAGAGTTTGAGGATTTTATCATGGACCCAATTTTTAGATTTTGACCAAATTTATATGGAACCACCCGTGAGGTACCCTCTTACTATTAAAAAAAGAATCATAGAAATCAGACAAGGTGGTAAAGAATTATTGCTAAATATACATAAAAAATGAAGTTTAAAGATTTTATCATGTACCCAATTTTTTGATTTTGACCAAATTTATATGGGACCACCCCTGAAGTACCCCCTAGTAACAAAAAAAGATTCATAGAAATGGAACAAGGTGGTAAAGAATTGTTAATTTCAATATTTATCTTAAAAATAACAAATAAACAAATTTTTGTTTAAACTTTTAAAAAACCTGCGACTCCCAAAGTTATGTACCTATACTGTATAAATTTAATATTGGACAAATATAATAAAAATTAAAATAACACTAATATTTTTCTGGAAATATATTAACTTCTAGTTTGGTTGGTACTTTCCAAAGTAATGTTAATAACCCTTTAAATTGCATCAAAAGATTTGAAATGATTTAACCCAAATTTTAGTCATTAATTTCTTTCTCATTTTTCAAAATTGTACAACAAAAACTGGGAATTTTATATTGGCCAAACTCTCTCAATCCCACATAATGACAACACCAATGTAAATAATGCATAACCTTAATAATTTCAAATATCCTTAATCATTCCTATTTAGTTTAAGTACACAATAAGTAAATACTAAGTAGAAGTAAGCCCATTGAAATTTACAAATAGAAGATTTTTATTATGTGCATAAACTGTCCAAAGCAATTTGAATAACAAAGGACCTCTCATAAAGCAAACTGTAAACAATAATGTCGTCAATCAGCTGATGACATAAAGATGTCAAATAAATAAATTAAAAAAAAACTCTTAAATATATCGTTAACTACCCCTAAAATGCAATAGATATGAAAAAAAAACCGTTACACAAAAGAATAAACTTATTCTTACCAGGGGTAAATTTTTTGACGTCTGGGAAAACGGAACTTTTTGGAGACGACGATCCAGTGGGACTGGTGGAAGGCCCTGGGGAACCCAATCCACTCTGCGTAGGGCTTGAACAGAAGGGCACGCATCGTCTTCGCTTTGCTGGGCGTCCCCCCAACACGGGCTCCCAGTCCAAAGATCTCTTCAAAGTTGCACACGCCATTTTTAGTTTGGTCGCTAACTGATCAAAACAAAACTGTCAACTTCACTTGTTCTCGTAACTAGCACGAAAATATATAAAATATACAATTGATTGCACTATAATAACATCGATTTCGAGAGTTTTTCGTTTAAAACTTCACTAACTACGAGATGTATACGGATTTAAATTTAAGTTCTCAAACTTCAAAATGGCGACGCGAAATACGAGAACCGAGAACAGACATTTTTGGAATAGTTCAATCGTTTCTAAACATAAACTAGCTTGGACTTGCGCAATAACCAAATCGCAAGTACGCAAGTCCACTACGTGACGTTTGGTTCGATTGATTGGAGCAAATTTCGTGGTGGCGCCACTATTCAAACGATTCGATCTTATTTCTAAAATAAACTCAAGTATTATTAAATTATGAAAGTATATTTATCATAAAACAAAGTCCCATTAATTAAGATATTATTTATTAATTGTATCACAATTAGGCATTCCAACAACATGTTGAAATGTTGCCCATGGGTTATGATATGGCAACCCTGTGGGCCTGTTGGCTATGACAATTATATAATATAGATTACTCAAAGCTGGCAATTTGCGAGCGGCCATATTGTCTCGCATGTGTTAATAAATCAGAAGCAATTTAGTAAACATATGTTTTAATGGTTATTTAACAAACAAGTGTATTAATAAGGGCGATTAACAATCGAGACAATGTTCGAAATTGTTAACCACCATTTTAATTCACGAGTTCGTTACAGAACTTTTCCCTCGACCGTACTTTTCAAAAATAAAGATATCTAACTTATAATTTTTATTTATTCGTCAATATCCATCTTTTGATTTTAAACTATATATAGTTTTTGAATTTAAAGAAATAAAATAATGACATACAATAGGTTCTTTCGTTCGCTGTTGGTGCAGTGTCCACCAGTGTAAATTACACCAGTTACACCACCTTATTTGCCCTAATAAAACTAGTGTAGGATGTTAATATAAAATTAGAATGTCTATTTTGACAAAAAAAAAGATCATGGTCCTATTTATAATAAGGAAAATTCATTTTTATCATTTATTCGTGAATTTCCTCATGATTAAATTTATGAATAATTAAATATATGTATTTAAATAAGTCAAATGAATAAAGAAAACTCTAAATCTAAACTATATTTAGATGTTGAAATTTCATTTTAAAACAGATTTGAGCCAGAACGGTCCTGTTCAGCCGTCTAATTTACATGTGGATGAGCAATCTATATAAATAAATAGCATTGGTGAAGTGACATGACATGAATATTTTGACTTCTGACAGTTTTGACAGGGCATAAAAAATTTTGAAGTGTCATCCTGTTTTCTTTATTTTTCAATAATTATTATATTGCTAAATAAACGGGCTTTAAAATGCCTAGTTCAGACGTAACGACAACTAAAGTTATAGTCCATCCATTGGTCTTACTTAGCGTAGTGGATCATTTCAATCGTATGGGAAAAATCGGTAACCAAAAACGCGTCGTCGGTGTCTTACTCGGTTGTTGGAGGGCTAAAGGAGTCTTGGATGTTTCGAATAGTTTCGCAGGTATGTAAAGGCTTTATACTAAACTGAAAAGTTCGTTAATCAATGTATTTTTTTAGTTCCTTTTGATGAGGATGACAAAGATCAATCTGTGTGGTTTTTGGACCATGATTACTTAGAAAATATGTACGGCATGTTTAAAAAAGTCAATGCTAGAGAACGTGTAGTGGGCTGGTACCACACCGGACCCAAATTACACCAAAACGACATTGCTATTAATGAACTAGTAAGAAGATACTGTCCAAATTCAGTATTGGTAATTATTGATGCCAAACCAAAAGACTTAGGCCTTCCCACAGAAGCGTATCAAGCCGTTGAGGAAGTACATGATGATGGTTCACCAACATCCAAAACTTTTGAACACGTACCAAGCGAAATTGGAGCAGAAGAGGCTGAAGAAGTGGGTGTAGAACATTTATTACGTGATATCAAAGATACTACTGTTGGCACACTTTCTCAAAGAATTACAAATCAATTGTTGGGTCTGAAGGGACTGCATTCACAGTTGAAAGACATTAGAGACTATTTGTTAAATGTTTGTGACAATACGCTACCTATTAATCATCAAATTATCTATCAGTTACAAGATATTTTCAATTTGTTGCCTGATATAAACCAAGATGCTTTTAACAATTCATTTTATGTTAAAAACAATGATCAGATGCTTGTAGTCTACTTAGCAGCTCTGGTTAGATCCATAGTGGCATTGCATAATTTAATCAATAACAAACTGACAAACAAAGATGCTGAGGAGGGTAAGAAAGAAGAGAAGAAGGATAGTAAGGATAAAGATAAGGACAGTAAGGATAAGGATAGTAAAGATAAGGAAAAGGGAGAAAAGGATAAGGATGCAAAGAAGGATGAGAAGAAAAAGTAGACTAGTATTTAGCTTTTCTTTGTAATTATAATTTTTTGTAAGCTATGATTTAAATAAATGTCTTTTTTTTGTATGTTTCTTTTTAATTGTAAATAAGGTTGTATTTATTTGGGTTTTATATGTCAGAACTGGTGTGAATAAAGTTGTCTCAATCTGTACACAACAAAGGCCCTGAAGCCACACATCCAGTACATCAGTAAAACGATTATTTTTAATATAAAATATATATATTTCTTTGATTCTGTACAAATATTCGGCTATAATACAGGAGTAAGTACAACGAGTTAAGTAAATGTTTAATAAATAGAACCATCCTAACAAAAAATTGAATTATCGACGCAGCAAACAATCTTTTTCGCGTATTACATAAACAGGCGCTTGTGCTCAGCTATCTAGGGGGTCGGCTATGATGAGTTCGTCCGGTTCGGACGTACTTATCGTTATCATCATTTTTTCTTCATTGCTCGAGCTATCTGAAGACGCTGATTGTGTCGATGTGGCGGCTTCCTATAAAAAAAAATTTATTATAGAGTTTACTTTGTAAATATTGTTGAGAGACGCTTCACTGTTTTAAGCCAAAATTTTTTTGGTGGTTAATAAAATTGCCATAAGTTATAAAAATACTTTTAAAAAACATACTCCAAAATCATTTGCTAATTTTATCATAAATCCCATTATCAGATATTGACCAAATTTATATTGGAGCACCCATTAGGTGTCTCCTTTCTAACAAAAAAAGAACCATATAAATCGGACAATGTTGTAAAGAATTATCACTGAACATACATTAAAAAAAAAGATTCATACGAATTGAAGTATGTTATACCCATAAAAAATGTTGCTTTCAATAATGTTGATGGATAGAACATACATACGTGTAATCTTACAATTAGATGGGCACAATGTAACTAGTTTAGGCAAAGAGGGACAAAACCAATAGATACTACTACCAATGAAACAAGTCATAAAAGTAATTAAAAAAAACGACTCCAAATTCGTGCAGAAATCATTAATATTCAGTTTGCTAATTTTATCATAGAGCTCATCAGCAGATCTTGACCAAATTTATATGGGACCATACTCATGAAGTACTCCGTTTTTAACAAGAAAAGAATCATAAAAATTTGACAACATACTAAAGAATTATCTACAAAAAAAAAAATGAAGAAAACGAAGAAATTGATGGTTTTCTTATGGACGCCATTAATAAATGTTGACCAAATTTATATGGGACCACCCCTGAGGTATTTCCTTTCTAACAAAAACAGAATAGTAGAAATCGGACAATGTGGTAAAGAATTATCATTGAACATACAACGGACTTCAAAAAAAGGAGGAGATTTTCAATTTGTAGGAATATTTTTTTGATGCATGTTCAGCTATAGTTCTTTGTTAAAAAGGGGATATTTTAGGGGTGATCCCATATAAATTTGGTTTAGATCTAATAATTGGGTCCATGAGAAAATCCTCAAACTCTTAATTTTTTATGTATGTTCGACGATAATTCTTTAACACGTTGTCTGATGTCAATGATTCTTTTTTTGTTAGAAAGAATATACTTCAGGGGTAGTCCCATATAAATTTAATCAAGATCTAATAATTAGGTCCATGAGAAAATCCTCACTCTTATTTTTTTATGTATGTTCGGCGATAATTCTTTAACACGTTGTCAGATTTCAATGATTTTTTTTGTTAGAAAGGCGATACTTCAGGGGTGGTCCCATATAAATTTAATCAAGATCTAATAATTGGGCAAATGAGAAAATCCTCAAATTAACTTTGTATGTATGTTCGGCGATAATTCTTTAACACGTTGTCTGATTTCAATGATTCTTTTTTTGTTAGAAAGGGGATACTTCAGGGGTAGTGCCATATAAATTTAATCAAGATCTAATAATTAGGTCCATGAGAAAATCCGCGAACTCTTAATTTTTTATGTATGCTCAGCGATAATTCTTTACCATTTTGTCCAATTTCTGATTCTTTTTTTGTTAGAAAGGAAGTATCACAGGGATGGTCACATATAAATTTGGCCAAGATCTGGTGATGCCATCTGCACGATTTTAAAGTCGATTTTTTAAAATTACTTTTATAACAATGCTACGCTTATGTTTTGACATTAATGACAGCGGATGTCGACAAATTTTTTCAACCTTAAATGCAAAATACTCTATATTAAATAGTATTTTTTATGTTATAATTACAGTATGGTATGTAAACGACATAAAAGTCCGATTTCTTATGTTTTTATTATCAATTTACTAATTTTAGTTGTGTCAATCCGGCGTTAAGAGGCTTGAATCCATATAATCTTCCATACAAGTCCTATATCAACGAGAAGTTCTTGCAACAACATTGCTTAAGGTACATTTACATCTGACATTTATTGCATGAGATTTATGTCTGACAATTGTTTAGTCCAGTGTAAACACACAAAAATTTCTCTCGGACATATATTTTTGAGTGTTTACACTGCACTAAACAACTGTCGGACATAAATATCATGCAATAAATGTCAGATGTAAATGTACCTTTAGAACATCAATTATGATAAGAGCACGGAACAGAAGAGAGTTATTGCAAGTTCACTTAAGGTCAGTCACTATTAGTGCCGCTCTTATTTTGACATCTGAGCATGCGTAGATCACTAACTTTAACAAAGATTGTGCCTGTCCTTAAAAGAGAGTTATTGCAAGTTCACTTAGGGTCAGTCACTATTAGTGCCGCTCTTATTTTGACATCTAAGCATGCGCAGATGTTTATGTTCTAAAACTGACTTTATTAAGGATTGTGCCTGTCCTTAATTGTGGATGTTTAAGGGCAGCAGGTAGTGGCGACTTTATAGCTTTCGGATGCGCTCGTCATTTAAACCTTCTAAAATTATAATTTATAATGCCTCTTTAATATTAGGTACTATTATAGAATTTATTTGACTCTAATTACGATGTCACTATTAGTGGCTGGCTTTATAGAAATTTGCAATATCTCTCTATTAAGGATAGATACAATCTTTATTAAAGTTAGTGATTTGCGCATGCTCAGATGTCAAAATAAGAGCGGCACTAATAGTGACTGACCTTAAGTGAACTTGCAATAACTCTCTAGTAAGAAAAACTTCTTTAATACTTTAATACAAGAAAGTTTCATCAATAAATCGAGAACGTTTAAGAAAAAAAGATTGAAGATGTTAGGACTTTATGTGGCCTTTATAAGGAGAGTTCGGATAGACAGGGGCTGGAGCGGGACAAATTTTAGGGTGCTTTTAAATGACATTTAAGCGTGTTAAACTGTCACTAATCGGACTAAACCGAACGCTAAAAGGGTCGTTTGGAGTTAAAAGTGTTAAAGGAGTTAAAGGAACTTGGCAGACCGAACGCAATGATAGTAGTTTGTATCAGTGTTAGGAAATTAAAGTAAATACCTGTAAACAGTGGCGTAGCCAGCCATTATTCACGGGAAGGGGTTTTGAGAACTATTGGGGAGGGGTTCTATCAGGAAAGTGAATAAAAAAAGTTTATAGCGATCAGCGTCAATGCTGTAGCAGAAATGGTGACACGAGGACCCTCCATTGGGGGTTCTGACCCCCAAAATTCCCCTCATTGCCTGTAAAATTTTTAAAAGAATACAGTAAAAACTTACTTGTGAATAGTTAACGTGCGTTATTGCGTATTTGATGTTATTTTTGCTATCCGTTATCCATACTGGTTTCATGTCGGTTTGCGGTTCGGGCGTCGACACCGGCTGGTCCTGTTCCCACGATTCATCTTCGTCTTGGTCATCGGGCATATCCTGCCTCTGTAAAAATGCAGTTAATCTATTGCAACCAAATCTTATAATATAAAAGCTATTACTGTTTTCTCGTATTGATGGCAAATTCTAATAAAATACCCCCATTTTATTCATTATTTTCAACAATACAGGGTGTCCCAATGAAAAGTAGCCCGTTTCCGTTTGATAAAATTTGGTTATGGTGAATTTAAAAGAGTAGATTTTTAAAAAACACCCTGTATTGGTAATACATAATTTCAATGTCACTGAAGCAAAACTTATAGCAAAAGAACACATATCAGCAAAGACCGTACGTTTCTACAATTTGTTTAACAGTTATAAGCTCTTGAAATGGGCCACTTTTCATTGGGACACCCTGTATAGATGAATAAAATGAAGGTATATTGAGAAAATTTTGTCGGTTTAAATTAAAAAAATGCTGGAATAATCGAAGGTTGATTACAAACTAAAGAAAAATTGAAAAACTGACAAAATTCTGCTCTGTGCAGGGATCGAACTCGCGACCTTTGGATCTTCGTTTCAATGTCCTAACTCCTAAATCACCAAAGCTTGTGTATCTGGCGTCCTAGTCGTTAAATACTCAAATTACCTACTAGAACGCCCGATACACAAGACCTTGGGATGTTGGAACAGGGATCCAAAAATAGCGGGTTCGATCCCCACCCAGAACTAATTTTTTTTTTTTCAATTTTTCTTTGTTTTGTTATCGCCCCCTCATTTCTCTCTTATTCTAATAATCTTAACTTGCATTGCAATAAAATGTTACTAACCGTTATTCTCTGCTTTTGATGAGTCTTCAAATGTTTTGATAGATGATCGGATCTCATGAATTTCTTATTGCATTCGTTGCACTGAAATCGCTTTTCACCCGTATGCGTTCTCCTATGCCTTTGTAGCTCATCGGACCTCGTAAATCTGAAAATATAATTAAAAGACTTTTAAATAGATATACAAAGTAGGAGAAATATACATAAAGTGGGAAGATTAAAGTCGTACCTCCTTGTCAACTTGTTTATTTTAAAGGGTACAGAAAAACGTGTGAATGTTTAGACTATAAAATTAAATATGAAGATCGATTCAGTCTATAAAAAAAATTAATCTTAATATAAAAATAATTATTCTAAAATTTGGAATCTTAGAATAATTATTATACTTTTCTAAAATGGGCCATGTTTTACATTCTGTATTTGTTATCGTGAATTAGCCTAAATAATATATGTGTTTGGTCCCAAATACTTAGTTTTAGTTGTTATTTATTTTATTCCCTTATAGACTCCTTACGGTTTACTAGGTTACACCTTCTTTATATATATATATATATATATATATATATATATATATATATATATATATATATATATATATATATATATAGATTTATAGTTGTCACATACGAGACCCATAAATACATGTGCAAGATACTATTAGAGGCCCGGTTTTCACATGCGAGGCCCGAAAACGGGCCTCGCAGGTCAAACACGTGTAAATAGAGCTATTTTTCATCACCCAACCCCCCAAAACCACAATCTCATTTTTTTTTTTGGACTCATATGTGATGTGGATATCTCCGCTTATACGGTTTTTAGTTCATTATATTTCTTACTAGGGTGCACTCCGAGCGTTTTGTATATAATTTCTATTGCCAATGCGAGGCTCTCGTATATCCGTTAAATGTATTTATTCATTGTCAATTCCGAGTCCCTTAAATATGGCAACGTTGTTCGTGTGCTGAGGCCCTACTAGTTTCTCATAGCAGGTACATAAAATGTTGATGAATAGGATTTAATATCCCAGGCATCAGCTGTTGGAACCCAAAATAAATTTAACCATTACTTTTTATTGTAAGACTTTTAAGATAATTTAAAATTTTCTAGCTTTGTACAGAACACTAATATTTTAATATTTTTAATGTCTCAAATCTTGAGTAACGTTTAAATAAGTTTCAAAAATGGATTTACTTAAATAGATACACAATTTTCTTTGTTTTGTAAATAGGGTTTTCAATAAATAACAAACTAAACCTCCAAGTTGATCCCATTACAAATAATTATCAAAAAAATAAAAACAGATAAAAATTATAATTGTTACCGTTGTTATAATTGTGTACCAAGGCCGTAAAGTTGATCTTTTTTAACTGAATTGGAAATTTGCGTCCCTGGCCAAGCTGGTTAGACCAAAAATGATCATACGGCCGAGGTGCATACAATATTTTTTTAGGCGACCGTTTTATGTCGTGTTTTTTGCTTGCTATTTGTAGTTTGGTACAGGAGAGGGGTGAACAACATAAATATTTGTTCCGGTGGTATGAGCTCTCGTCTAACTTTTTCTGGGAATGAAATAATTTGCTTCTAGTCGTCTATAACAATAAATAAATCCTTTGCGCCGTCTAGTTTTGCTATTATCGATGTTAGAAAATATTCTAAACTTACACCAAAAGTACCAAAACTCGACGATAAAAATGCTTAAAAAGGGTTTCAGAAGCGGCGCAAGGCGTGGGCGACGTGGGCCACCGTCTAGGCGTCGCGGCCTGAGGGGTCTCGCGCCTCAAAAGTTTAATGCAGCTGTCTTTAACTTATGAAAAATATTTATTCTCACATATGACCTATTTATATGTAAGCAAAAATTATATAGAAGAATGTTAACTTTCAAACACTCTCTATTTTAACTTTAATATAAAAAACAACGAATAACGAATTATTCTAAATAAGAAAGAATGTCAAATTCTAAACATTATCAAAATCTGTTTTTTGTTCCAATATATGTATATCTCTGGAAGTGGCGCCGTAGTGATATAACAAATAGGTAATATCGTTTTTTTACACCCACATAGATATTAGCTTATCTACGCTCAGATTACAAGACGAAAAAGTATGCTATTGCGTTCAACTAAACGAATATATTTCATATCCATTCTAGGTAGTGAGAAGACTGCAAAAAAATTAAATCCACCAATAATAGTTCATATTTTAGACACCCAACCATTATTATTTTAAATAAGTGACAACTCTGTCAAACTAATTGCCATTATATTTTTTGGTTATTAAGATTAAATATATATTAAAATGAAAGTTATTTTTGTGTAGAAACGATAAATAATATCATTTTTAGTATTATTTGGTTAACATTTTGAAAATTTTTATCAATCTTTATGAAACTAATTTAATTAAGAGTATTAAAACTAAAATCACAAAAGTGGCCGTGGAGGTGTGAGCAGAGCATTTGCTTTTCACGCGAATAGCTCAAGTTTGAATTCGTGCTCGAGACAATTTTTTTTATTTTATTTTAATTTATAAATTAATAAAATTCATTAATTATTTTAAAATTAATTATTTTGGCTTAACAACCTAAAATAATTTTTTAAATTTGTAGATTTTTGTTAGTGGGTCGTAGAAAAAATATACTGTACGACTCAAGTTGATTGTCCATATCTACTCTTGTTGCACAAACTACAATTTTTACTAAGTAGGTATGCTACATTGGTAAAATCCTGTAAATGGCCATATATTCGCTTATTTTGTTTTCTGTTTGTATAAACAGATTTTGATGTGAGAATCCACTGATTGAAAGGGATAAATATTAAATAAAAAGTAAACCGGTCCATTGAACTAAAATAAGTAAAAAAAATGGTTTTATGGTTAGAACCTTTAAAAGTTTTGCTCGTTAAAGAGAAATATTTAAACTATTACGCACATATAGTGTGTCAATTCAAAACTGCTTTTTGGCAATCGTTCTATGCAAGAATATTAAAAATAAACTACTCTATTTATAAAACAATATAATTATATTAAAAACTAAAAATCGAATTATTATATTTAACAAAACGTTCCGATTTGGTTTACTTTTTTTTATTCTCCTCTAATATTCGATTCTAGAGGGGAAAAGTAAATCATTTAAAAGGTGCGTCTTTTGCGTTTTTGTTTGCGCTCTTTCTCTTTCTTTACTTTTCGCTTTTTTTTTTCTCTTTCTTTCCTAAGACATCCCCCTTTATATGATTTTTGACTTATTTTTGTATTTGTTTTTAAAAGCATCACCTTTAAAATTATTTAAAGTGGACTGTTCTCGAGTGGGTGAGAGTAGTGATTTCAAACCTTACGAATTTTATAAAGATTTACAAATAATGATCCTAAATTTACCTGATTTCAATAAAGGTGTAAAACAGCTGCTCCAATACATAATAGAAAATAAGTTGAAAGAAATGTATCCAAATATTTATATTGTTATTCAAATTTTGTTAACAGTACCAGTAAGTACAACTGCTGAAAGGAGCTTCTCAAAATTAAAACTAATAAAAAATTAAGAAGTACAATGGGCCAGCAAAGACTTTAGCATTGTCAATTTTATCTATTGAAGCAGATATATAATCTGGATTATGGTACAAGAGTTCAGTAAAGCTAAAAGCAGGAAATTTATGTTTCTGTAATTCTTTACTGCTAGTAATAATTACTTAAAAATATTAGTTAAAGTCTAAGAGTTGTTAGCATTTTTTTATACAAGTTTTAATGTTATTTCTCTATATAAAATACGTCTTCTTGCGCCTCCAGAGGTCCTTGCAAAAATATATCTTGCCCACATAAAATTTAGGTCTTGCTCCGCCACTGAAGAGTTTTTTTATTGTTATAGACGTCTAGAAGTAAATTATTTTATTTTCAGCTAAGACGAAAAACTCCATCGATGTGAAACGTTATTTTGAATTTGACAGGTTAAACGACAGCTCCCACCACCGGGACAAAGTACCTACATGTTATTCACTGCCTCCCCCTTTCCATGTAACTAACTAAAAAACACGACATGCCACTTTAAATATTTTTTTTGACGTATGTGTTCTCATCTAGTTTTCTATAAAATGTGTTTCTAATAGATTTACAATAAAGATAAGACTTTTTAACCTTTAATTTTACTAGATATTAAATAATATTTTTTTAGTCTTGTACAAGAATTTATTCTTCCTATCTTCATCCTTTATATCCGTCTTCAACTTATTTGAAATAATAATTTAAAATCTGTAAATTATAGATACTTACCTCATTTGTAACGATTCCATCATTTTCATTTTTGTTAGTTTCAATTAAAAAAGGAACATTATCATTTTTTGAAATTAAAATGTTTTCATTTTTACCAATATTGTTACCTACATTAACATTGCCAATATTGTTTTCAACATCAATATTATTTTAAAACAAACATGACAAACATAATAAATAAAAAAAAATCATCTTCAATGAAAATTCTTTATAATTTGTTATTAATCAATATAAATAATACATTTTCTTTACATTGTCACTTACGTCTTGAAGACTTTTTGACGTAAAATTGACAGGCTGTAATAATGTATATGCTTTTTCAGTGCATCCAATCTCGTATACAAAATCGAAAATATACAAATATGATATTGATTCTAAACTATTCAAATACAGAGTCACTTTATTATCTGGTAAATTAATTAATTCTGAAGTAGGAACAAGACATTCATCTTTCTATGACAATTTTTTATTTTTATTTTCATTCAAAATAGTTCATAAAATATAAAAAATTGCTATATTGCTAAATGTTACTCTAAAATATTTTTATTCAACTTTTTTATCATTGGTTAACACAAGTAGGTACTGTCACTAAAATGTGTATCAATTTTCACCAAAACTAATGAAAACGATTATTATGAATTCTGGTATTTAACACCCCTGGTGAACACCCTATATCATAAATTGTTATAGATACAAGAATACGTTGTTTATACAGGGTGAGTCAGGAGGAGCGCACCAAGCTCTAGGAGTATATTATACACGTGAAAATAATGTAAAAAAACTCATGTTCTTATCCGATTTTCATTTGTTTTCAAGTTATAGCATATTAACAAATAAACAAATTTACACATAAAAATTCTCTTATTCTAAATTTGAATAAGTATCTGGCATTTTGCAACACTAACAATTACATAAATTCGAAATTAAACGTTCAGTTACTGTTCACTGTACACTGACAGTTCATCAAACCGTCAGAATTATCAAATGCCTTTGAGCCTTGAACATATGGCATACTTTGATAATGTTAAAATTCAGAAGTGGAAGGCTAGATGAACATTTTTTATTACGCCATAACTTGAAAACAAATGAAAATCGGATAAGAACACATGAGTTTTTTAAATTATTTTCACGTGTATAATATACTCCTAGAGTTTGGTGCGCTCCTCCCGACTCACCCTGTATATATATTTTTTTCGTCAAAATGACGTAAATTGGGAAAGAATGTTATATCAAAAGCTGCGGGCCTAGATGGCCTTTAGAACTGATATTAACCGGTCCAGGTATTAGACCGGAATCGCTTAGCAGGTGAGCTCTTTCAAACTGATAAAAAGAAAGTAGGAATACAAATTCTTAAAAGCTTAAAAAAAGTGATATTAAAATGTTTGCTTTGTTTTCCATAAAAACTAAAACAAATTTTGAAACAGTGGTTCCAGCGGAACACAGAACTTTATTTACAAAAAAAGTTATCTAAAAAAAATGTTTCTGAAGTAGGCCATGATCGACAAATATAAAGATACGATTCATGTCCCATGTCCGTAATAACTACGAACGATTCTGAATTAAATTCAAAATAAAACTTAAAAAGAAAAATAATTTAATGCTCCGACATGCGTAAATTTTTCTAAAGCCAACTTTAGAAACATTTCTTTGAATAATTTTATATTTTTGCTTTAACTTAAAATTAAAAAAAATATATTTTAAAATTTTAAATGTCTATATTTTCACTTAATCTTCTAGACAAAGATAATTGGCAATATAAATTATTCCTCTCACCCTCTGTAAAAATAAAAATCTGTATTCCTCATTTTGGCAAAATCTGTGCTGATGTCAAATTGGCGTAATTAAATCATTGGAACCCAGCGTTGAGCGAGACAGATTCACGATTAAAATTATAGTTTTGTTTTGTCTGTATTACTATTGTTAATGTTTTATGTTAGAGGGCAAAAACAATAATTAAAGTCAGAGATTTAGTGTTTTAAACGGATGATATAGTTTAAATTAATACCCTCGCCAACCTTTTTTTTTTTATTTAGAATACAACAAAACAAACAAATAAAGATATAATATATCTCCTTTTATAGGCATCTCTATAATACCTACAACTTCTCTACATAACATTTTTCTCTCCGTAAAATAGATTATTCTAAAAACGCACAAAGTGGAATCGATAATATTTCGGAACAAGTCAAACGCTGTAAACAATTTTTGTACAGACCGCATACTTTGTATCGTAATATTACCGTTTTCGCACGTGTTGGAACAAACCTATTATACCACTATACGCGCGAACTCATAGAAAAGAGATTTGTTGTAAAGATCTGTAAAAATTCTTCGAGTCAAACCTTTTGAAGGGCAAATTTCATGGGCCCATCTTGACAACGTCGCAGGGACTCGTATGTATATTGAAAAAGTAATTTATAAACAGAAGGCCTCTCATGTCAGTTAAACATTGTTAAGGGACTCGCATGCACGTTGCAAACATGTATGTTTAAATTTTAGAAATATATTACCCCTCTTGTGGCGTTATAATTTAACATTATTAGTACATTCTAAAACATTAAAATATATATTCAAAAAATCACTCCTTCAGGAGGGCCTCGGGTGGTGTGTTGACTACATCGGGCCTCGCTTTTGTATTTGGCTACGTATATATATATATATATATAAAAAAAAATAGTAAAAAAAGATGTCACAAAAAAGTTATTAAAACATCACGTCGAATTTAAAGTAATTTCACGCATTCCATTGCATTTTTAAACAATTCATTTAAACTTTTAAGATCTGTTGATTTGTTCACGTTTGTAAATATATGTTTGGAAGAAATCCTGGTCCTTCGTTTTTTCATAAAGAATACCTAACTCTACCTGTGCTACAGTCGCTAAACCCCAAGTGTGCGAGGAAAGACGAGTGCCACCACTGATCTGCATTATTTTTACAGATCAGTGAGTGCCACCCGTTCAATATGTTCATTCTATTTTTTTTTGTTTAATATTATTTCTATTAAATATATACAATTTCAAATCTGACTTATGTTGATTCATATTTCATGTTGGCAATTCGAAAATATTATAGCGTTTATGCCCAATTAAATAAATAAAAACATCTGGAGGGTACTTTAGAGGGGTCGTTTCTATATTTTATAGAATATATCTGTTAATTACGTTTGGAGAAGAAAATTCTTCAAATAAAAGTTACTTCTAATATTATTCTCTATAATGTTTGTTCTATGCAAAATTTTCCTAAAATGGTACGTATTCGAGAAATTTGACAAAATGTAAAAAATTCAAATTTTTATAAAAATTATTCAAATAAAAGTTGTTTGAAATATTATTCTCTATAATTTATATCCTTTACATAATTTCTCTAAAATGGACCGTACTCGAGATATTTAAAAAAAATGTGAAAATTTCGAATTTGGATGAAAACTCAAAAACGGATGAAGAGAAAAACATCAAATTTTAAACTTAACCTTTAATCTGGTATGTGGTAAACCCATTACATTTTTGGCAGAGTCGGAGCATGTGAGGGGGTACTTTATGGGAGGTAATTTTTATATGTTATGGAATATATCTGTTATTTACGTTTAGAGAAGAAAATTCTTCAAATAAAAGTTACTTATAATATTATTCTCTATAATGTTTGTTCTATACAAAATTTTCCTAAAATGGTCCGTATTCGAGAAATTTGACAAATTGTAAAAAATTCAAATTTTTATAAAAATTGTTCAAATAAAAGTTGTTTGAAATATTATTCTCTATAATTTATATCCTATACATAATTTCTCTAAAATGGACCGTACTCGAGATATTTAAAAAAATGTGAAAATTTCGAATTTTGATGAAAACTCAAAAACGGATGAAGAGAAAAACATGAAATTTTAAACTTAACCTTTAATCTGGTATGGGATAAACTCATTACACTTTTGGCAGAGTTCGGAACATGTGAGGGGGTACTTTATGGGAGGTAATTTTTATATGTTATTGAATATATCTGTTATTTACGTTTAGAGAAGAAAATTCTTCAAATAAAAGTTACTTCTAATATTATTCTCTATAATGTTTGTTCTATACAAAATTTTCCTAAAATGGTCCGTATTCGAGAAATTTGACAAAATGTTAAAAAATGCAAATTTTTAAGAAAATTGCTCAAATAAAAGTTGTTTGCAATATTATTCTCTATAATTTTTATCCTATACATAATTTCTCTAAAATGGACCGTACTCGAGATATTTAAGAAAATGTGTAAAATTCGAATTTTGAAGAAAATTCAAAAACGGATGAAGAGAAAATACCAAACTTTAAACTTGAGCTTTAGTCAGGTTTGCGGTGAACTGATTACATTTTTGACAGAGTCGGAACATGTGAGGGGGTACTTTATAGAGGGTAATTTTTATATTTTATGGAATATATCTGTTATTTACGTTTGAAAAAGAAAAGTCTTCAAATAAAAGTTACTTGTAATATTATTCTCTATAATTTTTGTTATATACATGATTTATCTAAAATGGACCGTAATGGAAAAGTTTGAGTAAAAGTATAAAAATATTTTCTTTAGCAATTATATATAGGTATATATAAAAAAAAATGTTTCGAGTAACATTTTTGTGGAAAATATATGTATTTAGTTCATCTTGTAAACATTTGCAGGAATGATACAATAAAAAATAAACCAAAATTGGCTTGGGGAATTTTTTGAGAAATTATTCAGGGAAATAAAAAATTTGGACCTGGCAACACTGGCTGAAGCAGGCAGTTTTATGTAACAGACAGAACCGATTGATGAGATGCAAAGTTTGTATGTACAAGAATATGATGATGCTAAGGTAGAATTTAATAAAACCATTGCCATATTTACATTTTTTACTCATTTGATGTTTTATATTTTAGATATTTAAAATATTCATCTATTACTACGAAAATCGCTAAATCTACAAAGTTTTTATTTACGAACCTTTTCCCACAAAACAGCCACGTACACACAAAAGGTCTTTCACCGGTGTGCCACCTAAGATGCGCCCTCAAATGACTCGTTTTACCATAGACCTTGTTGCAACCGGGAATGTGACAAATGTGTTGTTTTTTTCGATCCGTATGCCTTTCACCTGCAAAAGAATATATCATTAACATAATAAATTATTTTATGATAAATAACTGAATAATCGTCAATCATACGAGCTATGGGAGATAAATAATCAATAGCTGATCCCATATCTGGTGTCTCAGCATTTTCTGCTGCAAATCTTTCACTAGTATTCAATTCTGACTCACTCTCTAACATAAGAAGACAATTCAAATCTATTGAAAACATTAACGATCAAGATTTAAAATCTAGAAGATGCTTTCTAACGAATTCTGCTGCAATAGAAAATAGAAAAACTGACAAAAAGTAGACGTCTATATCAACAAAATTATTCATATAAAAGTAATTACTGGAAACGTAGAAATCAGTAGGAAAACTGAGAAGTAGGTAAACATGTTTGAAAGAAGCCATTGTATTTTCAATTTATAAAAGCGGAGATAAGACAAAAATAATAAACTATAGACCGATTTCCCTAATAAATAATTTCTCCACAATACAGTGTTATATCTAGTAATCAATTCAGTTTTAGAGAAGGTATCTCTACTGAAGATGCAATTTTAAAATTAACTAAAGAAATGTATAAATCTGTAGATAGCAGCCTGCTCTATGTGTTTTCATAGACTTATCAAAGGCACTTGACACAGTTAGCCATGCTTTGCTCCTTGAGTCACTTGAAAATATTGATGTAAGAGGTAAAATACTGAAATTTTTTAAAAGCTATTTATCTAATAGACCTCAACGTGTTCAAATTGATAATATACACAGTAATTTAAGGGATGTGGAGTATGGGGTACCGCAGGGCACAGTGCTGGGTCTTATATTTAAACAATTTATTTTTTATAAAAAGTGCAGTCAACATTATTACATACGCTGATGATACGGTAATTTTATAAACAGATAACACATAGAAAGATTTAAAGCTAAAAGTCGAAAAAGACCTTTAATTAATTAAATCCTGGTTTGAAAACCGCCTGCTAACAATAAATGAGAGTAAAACATTTTTTTATCCATCTCTGCTAACATATCTGGTCTTCCAACATACAGTAATCTTACTGTTACTGATGACTTCCAAATAAAAGTAACATATAAATTCAAATATCTAGGAGTAGTTCTGGATAATCACCTTAGGTGGGACAAACATATTGAGTACCTCCTGAAAAAATACGTTATCTTATCTATAAATTCAACCCAGCTAAAAACGGTTTATTATGCGCTTGTTGAATCTCATATTACATATGAAATAGTTAAAGCCTGGGGCGCTGTTAAAAACTTATCTAAATATTCTTATAATCTGTCAAAAGAGATTTTTAAAGATTTTATTTAAAAAGGATTGACTTTACCCCCACAAACGCGCTTTATAATGGCATTGGAGTTCTAGATCATCGGCAATTAGTTTTCTTACAAAGTGCTTTAGAACAACACAAAAATAAGCATACTCTAAGATAAAAGAACATCATTCTAATACCAGAAATAATAGTATATTACACACCGAGGTGGGAAGAGTTTCATTCCTGTCGTGAGATTAGTTAGATCACCGAGACGCGAAGCGTCGAGGTTAGCTATGATCTCGAGACAGGAATGAAACTTCCTACCGAGGTTTGTATACTATTTTATTTACAACCATCATATTTCGATCAAAGTTAATAAATCTTTGTTTCGTTCTGAACATACCTAAAATATTACATTTAACGACAAATTACCAAGCGCGCGGTTTTCTCAGAATAATCAAGTAAATATATTGTTACTGTGATTACGGTTACGGGTAACTTGCCCAGTTTTTGCGCGAGAGAGAACAACATCCCAAACAGCACAGTACGTCTTAAGTACGTACAGTTTTGGTACAGTACGTACAGGACGTAAAATGTACGTTTTAAGTACGTACACAATAGTACGTACCTGTACGTACAGAAAAATACGTACTAAGTATGTACCTAAGAGTACCTAATCCTGGTTGCATACCTATTTTATTGAAAAACCTAAGTTTTTACCAAATTTCTGTTGACCGTAGGCCAAAAAGGCAAAAATGCAAAGAAGAAACACATTTTATTTAACCTAACATAAACTCTAAACTAAGCTCGCTGGTTTTTTTAAGTGTTGCAAGTTGCAAGCAACCACATTCCAAGGGTTTCAACAGTTTGTTATTGTTAGTTTTTTATGTTTAAGAATTTAACTATTAAGTGTTTCTTTAAATAAATAATTGCATATAATTTATTATAATTGAACAAGACAGTTCTTAAGACTTTTAGACTTTTTAGTGAGTGTTATAAGTACATAGTTTTGTCATTTTATTCTGGTGAGTGGTTTCATTTTAATTTTAAAAAATTATGTGTAATAAATATAATTTATAGATATTTGATCCCATCCCATAGTAAACATTACAAAAATGCTACAAAACAATTGAAAAAGTTTAAGGAAATGAATAAACAGGAGGACAAAAGAAGTGATATTTTACAGACCTTAATAATTTAATTTTGGATTTTGTCAACAGGAGTATGGCTGCTACCTTAATAACTATAATCAGCTGGCAACAAATTATAATTGGCTGCAGTTGTAGAGGGTAAGATGTTTTGATTTTTTATTTTTGCATGCCAGTTTTCATAAAGTTCTTGCATTAAAGAAAAGAAATATAGGAGTTCCGATATTATAGAATAGTGTCAGAAACAAATTGGATTTCAAAGGCATAAGGCCAAAAGAGGTGGATACAAATTAGAGAGGTTTAGATCCAGGAGTATATTGACAATGATAATTTTGAGCCGTAGAAACTATCGCTTACTTTACATCTTTTATATTATTTTTATTATATTACTTATTATAAAAAGTACCCAAGTTAAGTTTCTAATTTGATATTATTTCTTTGCAGAAGGTGCTGTAAAAAGTAGCAAATACAAAGAGAAGAAGGTTGCAGAACAGGAAATTGTGAGATGGCTAAGAAGAGTTGATGATAGTCTAAAAACTTTAAAAAAACAGCAAAACAATTTAAATTATTCTTTTAATGTAAAAAATTAAAAAATACAAATTAACCTGTTTACTTTTTTTGTATTGTACTAATATGTACATTTTACATCATAACTAAGTACCAATAAGGATGAAAAGAACGTCTAGAATATGTATTCTATTGGAATAAGTACAAACATAGTACGTACATAGTATGTACATTAAGTACGTACACAGTACGTACATTAGGTACGTACAGAGTACGTACTTTAAGTACGTACAGAGTACTAGGTACGTACCATCGTTTGGAAAATGTCCGTATTATGTACGTACTATGTACGTACTTCGTACAGTAAAGTACGTGCATGGTACGTACTTTACGTCCCATCAGTACGTACACAGTACGTCTTATGTACGTATGTGTGTTTGCTGGGATAGAAAGAGAGCTCCTGCTAAGTATGGCAACATCGCGAATAGGGGTGGAGCTATGAATGGTAATTACTAGTAGCTCCATCCCCGTAAAAGTCACTTACCCACTATTATCATATTTATCCTAAATTTCTATTAGGAACATTGTGTAAAAAATTTAATCTATTTCGTGGAAAAAACTGATACAAATAGAACCGAATAAAATAAATCCCGAATTTAAACCGGAAATGTTATTCCAACTTAAACTATTAACTATTATTAAATACATAAATATTAACTATACCTACCAATATCTATGAAAATTCTTTGATAAACAAGTTTTGAAGATTTCAAATAATAAGGGTACCTAGGTAGATTATTTGCCGGCAAGAAAATGTCACAAAAATTAGTTTGCAATCGATTTCCGACTGATAGTGAAACGTCAATAGGTCCTGTTATTTTCACATTATTGCCTAACAAAAAGTACAACACTTATAACATAGTTTTTCAAAAACAGAAACAGTATCTACCGGAATTGAAACCAGATATATCATTTCCATTTAAAAACATAAAACCAAATCAATACAAAATAAAACCATGGCTGACATCAGGAATTTTGCGGTCCTCTCAAAGGTTGAAAGAACTTTTCCATTTAATGTGTTTAACAAATAACGAAGCAGATGTTCATTACTATAGGAATTATAAAAAAATATACAGAAAAGTTGTAAAAGCCGCGAAAAAAATGCAAAATGATAAAATATATAATAATTCAGCTAATAAAAGTAAGTGCGTATGGAACCTAATAAATAAAAACACAAATAATAAGACAAATAACTCTAATGCTATACATTCAGTAGTCGTAGATAATGAAGTAGTGACAAACCAAAAAATAATTAATGATTTTTTTGTTAATATTACACATCAATTAACGATTAAAAATAATGTCGATCAAAAGGACTATGAGTTTAAACAAAAAAAGGTCTATGATACTATATTCGTTCATCCTGTATCAAACACAGAAGTGTTTAATATTATTTTAAGTCTCAAAAAGTCTGGTTCATTAGGTTTGGATCATATTAGTAGTAAAATATTGGTCTCGGCAGTAAACTATTTAGTATATCCTCTTACTTTTTTATTTAATTTGTCATTAGTTAATGGATTATTCCCTGATGTATTTAAGACGGCAAGAATTGTACCTACCGATATTTAAAAAGGGAGAAAACACTAATGTCCAGAACTATCGCCCAGTTGCAATTCTTAGTTCAATCTCAAAAGCATTAGAAAAAGTTATTTATTCTAGAATTATGCAATATTTAGATTCTAACAAAACACTTGTAAATAACCAACATGGTTTTAGGAAAACGAAAAGTACACAAACAGCTTTAGTGCAATTTATAAATAGAGTATATAACGCGTTAGATAACGGACACAAGTGCATAGGCCTGTTCATGGACTTAAGCAAAGCTTTCGATTTAGTCAACTACAAAATCTTAGAACACAAATTATACAACTATGGTCTACGTGGAAAATTAAGCGATTGGTTGATGTCTTACCTAGACAATAGAAGACAAGTTGTTGATATTAATGGCATATTATCAGACGTTTTAGACACATCAATAGGGGTTCCACAAGGGTCCATTTTGGGCCCTTTGCTTTTCCTAATATACGTTAACGACCTTCCGGAAATTCATAACTTTGGCGATGATCTTACAATATATGCGGATGATAATAATTACCTATGCACTGATGATACATTAGATAATTGTCTAGTTAAACTACAATATATGATTAACAAATTTAAAAAATGGTTTTCATCAAATAAGTTATGTATGAATACGGAGAAAACAACATTTGTTCATTTTACACCTCGACCGATAACTGATGAATGCCATTTACTAAAAATAAATGGCAAATCCATACAACAGAGCCAGAACACAAAATTTTTGGGAATTCATATTGACGCTTCGCTAACATGGATGCAACATATAGATGAAACGTGTAAAAAAGTGTGTTCCTCTTGTTATGCATTGATACGTCTTAAACAATTATGCAATGAAAAAATTCTAATTTTTTACTATTATGGTTTGGTATACTCCCGAATTAAATACGGTATTATATTTTGGGGATCATCGCCCCATTTAATTAGACTTTTTAGACTTCAAAAACGGTGTCTCAGAAATATCGCTGGCATTTCTAGATATGCTTCTTGTAGAAATATTTTTAAACAATTAAAAATATTAACGCTGCCCTGTATATATATGGTTGAACTGCTAATATACGTAAAAACTAATTTAAATATGTTTATGACAAATGCAGATATTCACGATTATGATACCAGAAATAGCGATTCTTTAGTAATTCCGTCTCACAATTTGACATTATATGAAAGAAGTCCTTATTTTTTAGGAATTAAGTTGTATAATAAACTGGATCGGACTCTTAAAGAAATAAATAGTACTAAATACTTTAAACGTAAAATAACGGACTTATTTTCAAGGAAAGCATTTTATACTGTTTCTGAGTTCCTTGATTCGTAGATAAATCATCTCCTTCATAAATATTATAATTATATTTTGGTTTATAAATAAGTTTGTTTTAGATTTTTTTAAGTTTAGTATCTATTTCTGAATTTTAGTACTTTGTATTTTCTATTCTACTTTATTAAATTGTACACCATGTTTTGACTTTTCCCATACCTGTACAAGGTCTCTTGGAATTAAAGATTTATTTATTTATTTATTTATTTAAGCCGTTTTATGTTAGATTTCGAAACTAAACTTATTGAAGCTTTAAAACAAAATTAAGAATTCTGTCATTAAATGATGCCACTTTCACTTTAATTAGTGTTTATGGAGAAGAATCCAAAGCGTCGGATTAGGTTCTTTATACAAGAATGATATGGAAATCCAAAACCACATAAAAATATGTTCTTTGCTGGCTCATTTACCTATAAATCTTATTGATGAAGGGATGGCTGAAAATAATAAAGGATTGTCCAGTTAACAAAAAAATAGAAGAGTTTAACAACTATTTCATAAACCACTGGCTTGAAAATAACTCGTTGCCAAGAACTGTATGGAATTGCTATAATTTAAAACACTGTACAATGTCATAGATGGATGGAATAACAAATTACAGCTCCGAATAAGAAACAACCCCAATGTGTATGAATTGATTAAGTTTCTTCGATTTGAAGCTGAATTCCAAGACAGCGAAATACTTCGAAAGGAGTTTGGGCTACCATTATCGAACAAAAGAAGAAAAGTATACATTGGTATAGATAATAAAATCAAAAACTGTTTATTAAAACTTAATAAAGACGGAAATATTAATAAATGTTTAAAAACTTTAAGCTATTTACAAACATTATATTTTTTTATGATTTAAGTTAAGTTATATTTAAATAGATTGTTTTATATTTTTTCGTAAAATATATTTTTTTTAAATTTGTATATTTACCTACAATGCCATTATTTACAAATATTTAAAATTTTTTTTTAAATATCTCGAATAATTAACTTAGTTTACATAAAATTCAAGTAAATACATCTCATCTTTATTTTTAAATACAGTGCTAAAAAAAATAGAATTTTTATTTAAAATTTCTATTTGCGTCTGAAAAATTACCGATATTACCTACCATTTGCAAATAATAAGTAAGTAAATGCTTGAAACTTTTTGTAAAATTTTATTATTTTTACATATAGGGTGTTTCAGAAAGTACTGTAAACTAGGGATTTATAGATCTTAACTAATTATTAGGAAAAGCTAAATATAATTTTCCTGTAAACGTCCAAGTTTTCATTCTACAGGGTGATAAAGTGAATTTATTAAATACATAATTTGCTAAACATCTTTCCTTACTGTAAAGAATTTAACTTAAAAATATATGTATATCAGTTAATCGTCATTATTGGTTGACACTCTAATTCGACAAAATATGATACCCATTGGACAATAAAGATAACTAACACAAGAAAAATCTACAAACCATTACAATTACTTACTTCAAGACATCCTTAATACCTTAATTATGCCTCCCTGGTAAGAAATAAGGGCTGCTATATCTAGCCAAATTCATAATTAATAAGCAACAATGCATACTATAGGTAAAGATATCGCCATTGGCCCAGCGGGTACCTACAAGGCCGGCACATTTCTGATAGGAAAAGTGTTCTGTTATTTTATGTAATGTTGTATATATTTTAAATATTTAACAGGTGAATAAATGTTTTAAATAAATAAGGCCTGAGAACACAATTTTAATTCAAACTTTTTGAACACCCTATAGGTACTTAAGTATTTCATAAAAGATGAAATTAATAAATATTCCTCACGCAATTTCTTACAAAAAATGGACTCTTGGTTGATCTCTGTAGAACATTCCATTTTCAGGATATTTTAGTTTTAATCCCACTCAAACATGAAATATCTACATTAAAAAATTCAAAAAAATTTACTAATGGGACCATTAAGTTCATAATTTTTAATATTTTTCATGAAATCGTCTCTTGATAAAATTGTACATGGATTTCATGTTTGAGTTGGACTTAAACCGAAAAATCTCAGTAATTTAATATTACTAATTTTAACTCTTATGAAATATAGAGTGTCCAAAAGGGTTGGATAAATATTGATTTTAAAACCCTTGATTCTACGCCAATGAATTATCGTAATTTATAAAAATAAAGTGTGTTAACTAATAATGACGATTAACTAACATATCATATTTGTAAGTTAAAATATTTACCGTAAGGATAGATATTTAGAAAATTTTGTGTTTATGAACTTTACTTTATCACCCTGTAAAATAAAAACTGGAACGTTTAAAGGAAAATTATACTTAACTTTTCATATTAATTTGTTAAGATCTACAAGTATTTTATTCTGAAATACACCGTATATACTTGAAATGCAAGAATTCACACTTTGTCTATTCGAAGATTCGGTTTATTTCTTTATTTTTTTAAAGATAATTTTATTTATTTATTTTTATTCACTTGTATTTACAGTTACTTTTTTTATTATCATAATATCTAAATAAATTATTGTTTTCTTATCCCCTACTTCTAAAATTTCCTTTGCCAATACTACTGATGACGTGATCCTATATCTTTGGATCCTATCTATCGTACGACTATGCGTGCGCATCTCTCCGATGCTTTGGGGTGGTTTGGTACCATTCCACCTCAAGTGCAACGTTGCCGGATCAAAATGTACCTGAAAAAAACTGGGCAAATGTCCCGACACCGTGATTACGGGGTAAACAACTGTCACCAATATAAATAAATGTCAGATGAAGCCGGATATTAAATTCGCAAATAATAAATAGTAGTTTGTTGTATTTTAGTTCATTGTTGTTTTTTATTGTTTGCCATTAAATAGGTATTATAAAATTTGTCAAAAAAATGTGTTATTTTTTTTAAATATAAAAAATATTCATCTAGAATAGATGAAATGAGGGCGGGAAGTGAGGGCGGGAAGTAGAGGTGTGTAATGTGACACTTCCCAACCTTCAATGACAACATTACATATATGGTTGTAAATAAAAATTATAACTACTTACCAGCTACAACAAGTAAATATATAGGACAACAGTCACATGAGTATCTAGGACCTAAATTATTTTCATATCTACCATGTGATATCCTAAATATTACAAATAAATTACACTTTAAAAGGGCCTTGAAGAAATACATAGCTGAAATACCTCGTGAAACTATTCATGAATTAATTGAATGCCCACACCTTTAAAATATTTCTACAAATATTTCTGGAATATGATCATATTATATGTATTATTCTTTAGTTTTAGTTTAATGTGTTATATTTTTTAATAATTGTTTCTTTGTTATTTAACTCATACAAAGACCAAGTATTTATCGAGTATGACTAAATATGTATGTATTAATTATTTCTTTAAACAAATAATAATAATGTAACTTTGAACTCACCTTCTTGGCAATTCGGACAGGTACAAGCCACCCTACGTACTCTCTGCTTCTGCAAATCGTTCTGATTGGCGTCCGATGACATTTGTATCGTAGTAGTATTGCTATTATCTGGCGAAGTAACTAAAGTTACCGTAGGCGTCATCTGACCGGTGTTTACGGTACCGCCAGAAGACGCGGTCGGTTGAGCGACGTTACCCTGAGGAGTGGCAGTAACCGTTGGGATTACTTGCCATTTATTGGGATCCGTGGGGTCTTGTTGGATGTGCTGGCCCACGGATATCTGCGTCGGAGCTGCCGCCTGGGCTTGCTGCGTTATCACTTGAACATTGCCTAAACCTGAACAACAAAAAATCCTTCATTCATAAAGGTTTTTTGCTAAAACTACTGTTCGAAATAAACATGTGTTTGGTCTCAAATGTACCGCCGACGAAAGGGGGAGGCTGGCGGGACAAATTCCCGGGGCCTGGGCACAAGGGGAGGCCCGACAGGTGAGGAAGTTTTATTTTTTAGAAGTTCGCCTCAAAAGGGAGGACTTGGTTTACAAAAAATACAAGGTGAGACCTTTTTTCTAGGTTATTTATTTTACATACTACTTAATCAATCCATTAATATCAAAAATTTGAGATTAAATTATTTTTAAATAGTTAATGAACTTGTTATAAGTTTATATTTTGAGAATATAATAAAGAATCTAAGTTTTTACTTGAGGACCTTTTATTTATCGAAAGGGTTTAATTTTTTTTATAAAATTGTCAAGGGGCCCCACCTGATTCTCGGCGACTCTGGTTTTCTTGATCTGTCTCGAGCTAACGATTTTGAGAGCTTAGGAAGGGACAGTGGTTTGTCTGTATTATAATTTATAATCAGTCAAGATTTAGAATTTGTGAAAGCAACATCAAACAATAGAGTCAAATTTTTCAATACCTTTTTATTTTCCTCTCTGTATACAGATAAGGAAAGTATAGGAATCATGATTTTTCGACTTCCGAGTTTTCGACGGATTTTTACGTTTTGGGGTCCCCTGATTACGTTTTAACCATTTTCGCGATGATGTCTGAATGTGTGAGTCTGTATCCTCGATAACTCATGAACGAATACAAAGGAAAACATCAAATATTAAACTTAAGCTTTATTCGGGTCTCCAGTAAACTGATTAGATTTTGGACAGAGTCGGAACATCTGGGAGGGTACTTTATAGGTAGTCATTTTTATATTTTATGGAATATATCTGTTATTTACCTTTGGAGAAGAAAATTCTTCAAATAAAATTTATTTACAATATTATTATCTATAATTTTTGTTCTATACAAAATTTTCCTAAAATGGTCCGTATTCGAGAAATTTGACAAAATGTAAAAAAAATCAAATTTTTATGAAAATTGTTTAGATAAAAGTTGTTTGTGATATAATTCTCTACAATTTTTGTCCCATACATAATTTCTCTAAAATGGACCGTATTCGAGATATTCGAGAAAACGTGTAAATTTCAAATTTTGAAGAAAACTCAAGATCGAATAAAGAGAAAAACATCAAATTTTAAACATAAGCTTTATTCCGGCCTGACGTAAAATGATTAGATTTTGGGCAGAGTCGGAACATCTAGGGGAGTATTTTATAGAGGGTCGTTTTTATATTTTAAAGAATATATCTGTTATTTACGTTTGGAGAAGAAAATGTTTCAGATAAAAGTTACTATTAATATTATTCTCTATAATTTTTGTTCCATACAAAATTTTCGTAAAATGGTCCGAATTCGAGAAATTTGACAAAATGTAAAAAAATCAAAATTTTATGAAAATTGTTCAAGTAAAAGTTGTTTGTGATATATTTCTCTATAATTCTTGTCCCATACATAATTTCTCTAAAATGGACCGTATTCGAGATATTTGAGAAAAAGTGTAAATTTCGAATTTTGAAGGACACATCAGATTTTTTTATTATCTTGAACTCGCCAACTGAATATAAGAAAACTTAGTCAAATCCCTAACAACTACTTACCCGGTATGTTTTGTATATTAGGTATTGCTTGGATATTAGGCACTTGGATAAGATTTCCTAAATTCCCTAAATTTCCTACAGTAGCGTTACGAACTTGTTGCAAGTTAGCTGCAGGTATCACTGTAAATTGTTGTCCGTTGGCCCCTGTAAAAGTCAGCTGTGGAGTGGCGTCGATCTAAAAACAAAATTTAAATCGTTTTTCGAAAAAATACTAGACAAGTATTAGAAATTAAAAATTAAAAAAAAAAACGACTTCAAAAACGTGCAGATGTCATCATCGCATCTTAACTAAATTTATGTGGTACCCCTGAGGTACCCCCTTATTAACAAAAAAAAGAATCATATAAATCGGACAAGGTGGTAAAGCATTATCGCTAAAAATACATAAAAAATGAATAGTGAGGATTTTCTCATGGACCCAATTATTAGATTTTGACTAAATTTATATGGTACCACCCCTGAAGTACTCCCTTTCTAACAAAAAAAGAATCATTGGAATCGGACTCCGTGTTAAAGAATTATCGCTGAACATACAAAAAAAAAATGCGACGAATTGAGATCCTCCTCCTTTTTTGAAGTCGGTTAAAAATATGACAAAAGGAATAACATTAATTCGACACATACAATATCAACCCTGTATTAAGAGATGTCACTATTTAATTGCCTGTAGATTCTGTACAGTTTTTAGTTAAATAAAATCTTAAGAAAGGTATAAGTTTCATTTTAAAACTCAACCGTACTTTTATTGTACATTTGAACTACTTTTAACATATGTGTTTATTTTGTTGAAAATTTACCACTTATATATAATTAATTATTTTTGAAACCTCCTCCTTTTTTGAAGTCGGATAAAAATGGAACCTACCTGAGCTTGAATCTGCGTAGTAGTCTGCTGCGCAGGAGTCTGTGGCGCAGAGCCCATACTGGTGGCTATTTGGAGTTGCTGAATTTGCCCGTTCGGCATCAAAACGTTGGCGAATTGAGGCTGAGCTTGGATCATATTTTGAACGGCCAACGGTGGCGAGTTGATTGTTTGACGGTACGTTCTTTGAGGGCTCTATATAAATTAGAATAAAAATGCATCAAATATCAATTTTTTTAATAAAAGATTTGATTGTAGACTTTGATAATTATGTATTTTTTTGTAATTAGATTATTAAATTTTTTGTTAATAAAAATAAGGATGGTCTGAAGCAAGTGTAGTTTGCGTTACATAAAAACATAAAAGGAGGGGCCTATAGTTGAAAGTCACGGTAAAAAATCCAAAATAACAAATCCAGGAAGGGACAGACACCCCTTTACCCTTGTATGGGGGTGCCCCATGACTGAATGCTTTTATTACAATCTTCGGTTCATATTACAATATGTTTTAAATCCAAATCCACACCTCAAATACAGAATAAAAGGCAGGGCTCTTATTGGGTTTCTCCCACAATTACTAAGGCAAAAAATAGACTGTGGTTTTTGCATGAATGGCAAAAACAGCATCCTAGTACTCAAAATATTTGTTGAAATTACATTCAACATGTCCTATCTGCTAAATACTAGGTAGACACTCCCTGTATAAACCTCCGCATTTAGCAAACAAAAATAATAAAGTACTGAATAGTCACTCCCTGTATAAACTAATTATCTAAACTTGAAACAACACGCTTGACTTTCAAATGACCGCCAGACACCTGCTATGTCGCAAAGACACCTGTGTCTTCGCAAACAGTTAATATGATCATGTGATCTGGGACGGCCAATGAGAAAAAAGGCGGTAAAACCGTCGCTGGCTGGCGGGATTGTATCGGAGAAAAAACTCACACTTTCGTTTAGTCAGTCGAACAACACACATCAAAAACCTTGACAACGCCGGCAGCAAATCGAAAAATTAAGTTAAAGCATTTGTGCTATTTGATTTTAAAAAGTTGTAACATGTAATCAATTAATAATTTATGTAACCAAGTATTAATATGTAAAATGTAGAATCAGTAAGCCGTGAATATATCAAATTCAAATATAAGGTGATAGTTTCATTTGAATAAAATCAGTGCATCAACCAGAACTTCGAGAGTATCTTCCATAGGCTACAGGGTGGAGTATAAGGCCTTCACCCCAGGTAACATATTTCAAACATAGTCATACAGTCTACCATGATCGAAGGCAGTAAATGTCAAGCCTTATAAACCCAGGGTAAGACAATATTCAATTATTGATGCATATCAGGAGAAGTGTCCCTCAGGGCTCAATTTTAGGTCCATCACTTTTTTTGATATACATTAATGATCTTCCTGACCATATGCATTTTGAAAACCTTATCACATGTATATTTGCTGATGATACTTCCTTTTGTATTAATACTAAATGAGGAACAGATCATGATCAAGTTTACTCTGATGTCATGATTCAGGCAAAAAGGTGGTTTTCTGTAAACGACCTGTTTTTAAATGACACAAAAACTATCTCCCAATTATTTACAGTAAATAGTGAACAAGTTAAGAACAATTCTGTTAAAACACTTGGCATTTAAATTGATCCACATCTCAGATGGACAGATCATATTGAAGTACTTTGTTCCAAATTATCATGAGCAGTTTTTGCTATCTGGAAAATATGCCAAATATGTGGTAAAGATGCAAATTACTGCTTACTATGCTCTATTTCATAGTCATTTGACATACAGGACAATATGTTGGGGCAATGCTGCTGACCCACATATCTCAAGTCTTTATTTTGCAAAAATCAGCCATAAGAGCCATAACACGTGCTTCTTGACAAGCCAGTTGTAGACCAGTATTCCCAGAACTTAAAATTAACACTCTATGCAGTAATAATCTATCAAAACCTTTTTTCCCACTCAGATATCCATAACTATAATACAAGGGCACAAAGATAACTTAGTCCCTATCCAGTATAGACTAGAAATCAACCTATAGATAAATTTAAACATGCATTGAAACAAATGTTATCTAATAATTGCCTATATAGCTTAGAGGAATTTAAATCAATACAGATGGAGGATGGAGGCTGTCACTGTGGCCTCTGAGTGATTCAGTAAACTATGTTGTAAATGTTTGTAAATTTCACTTTTATATTTTTATATTATTATATTTAGGTAAATTTTATTATATATATATTTAGTTTTAATTGTAATTTGACGAGCCATAAAATGTAATATTTTCTCAGGTAAATAAAGATATTGTATTGTATTGCATGAAGTCTGGTGTATTTGATAAATGTAAGAAACATAATAGAAACAACATAATATGATATTTTTATTAACTTCTGCTTACTTGCCTAATTTAAATGTAGAAAAACTTTATTCAATATGTCATATTAGTGTCAAGCAAATTTGATTCCACTGAGCAAACTTTTAACAAAACGTTTTTAGAGTTTTTAGTGTTTTTTTTTTAAATATTGTTTGGAGGTCATATTTCTCGATTTTAGTGCAAGAACATCATATTCTCGCACGATTTAGTGACATATTAGAAGGGCTCGTAAATCTAAGAGGGTTGCAACACATTCTATTTGATATAGTAGTACCAAGCCTGCCAATTTGTAGAAAACGTATAAGCGATTTTTTTCAAATAATATTTTTATTGTATTCCGACATAAAATATATAAATTTAATCAATTATTTATGATTTCACGTATTGTAGATATACCACATCGTATGTCGCAACCCTTTAGACACACCAAACCTTATCCCTGCTTTCATTTGTTTGGACTGTCTGATTAATTCCACCTGTCAGCTGGTTGCATGGAGGTAGAAAAAATTATGACTTGTATATACATACGCAATCTGAACCACATTTGTGATTTGAACCGTTAAAATTACCCAAACACTCTTTTTTTGCAGCCTGTATAAACTTTTTGTAGTTAGTAGTTGATTTGTCATTAAAAACCACTATTAGAAGGTTACTGTGATTAGTCATGGGTTAGTTTTGTTTCTATGAAAAATGTGTGGCCTACCAAATAGTTTATGTAGCATAAACATACAGATACAAAACAAGTATTAGAAATTAAAAATTTAAAAAAACCGACTTCAAAAAGTGCAGATGCCATCACCACATCTTAACGAAATTTATATGGGACCACCCCTGAGGTACCCCCTTACTAACAAAAAAAGAATCATATAAATCGGACAAGGTGGTAAAGCATTATCGCTAAACATACATAAAAAATGAAGAGTTTGAGGATTTTCTCATGGACCTAATTATTATATTTTGACCAAATTTATATGGGACCACCCCTGAAGTATCTCCTTTCTAACAAAAAAAGAATCATTGAAATCGGACACCGTGTTAAAAAATTATCGCTGAACATACATAAAAAAAAAATATTGGGATGAATTGAGAACCTCCTCCTTTTTTGAAGTCGGTTAAAAATATGACAAAAGGAATAACATTAATTCGACACATGCAATATCAACCCTATTTAATTAGTAGCCAGTAGATTCTGTACAGTTTTTATTTAAATAAAACCTTAAGAAACTGTACTTTTATTGTACATTTGAACTACTTTTAACATGTGTTTATTTTGTTGAAAATTTACCACTTATATATATAATTAATTATTTTTGAAACCTGTAGAGAATTAAGCGTAGGAACTGCGTTGTCTCTCAAACGGACATAACACTGGGAAGTTCGATCAAAGCATAATTTTGCGAAATGTCTTGAACACAGAGCACTGTATCGTGTAGGTTCCCAATTTTCTCTATTCACAAAATTTATCCATTGTCTCCGCCTTTCTGAATTTTTAGGAAATCTATAACAAAAATCCGATTGAAGAAAATTTAAAAAATTAATATCTCAATTTGCTAGATACCGCCCTGCACATTGTTTACTGTGTTGTATACTTACTTGTGGAAAGTTATTCCCGATAATTTCTTTTTATTATCAGTTCTGTTGCTACAACTACGTTGAGCACAAGAGACCATTGTTAAATTTTTTATTTGTATAATATTTTAGTTAGTAACATAAAAATAAAATAAATGTTGATTAAAACCAAAATTGTTCCTAAGGATTTTTAAATTATTCAACTTTCAGTGTCAAAATTAATCTTCTTCTTTTTTTTGACAGACTATGGCCTACTACTTCCCGATGCTTAAAATTCTTCTTTTTCCAGTTAAACTTTTATTTTTTAATCAATTATAATAGGTTCTTTCGTTCGTCCCACTGGTGTAGTTGGGTGTAGTAATGAACTACACCAACCCACACCCATACCTTTCGTTTGGTCCGGTGTAAAACCCACTATACCTTCCTGTCGGCGATGTGGTGTACACTGGTGGATATTTTCTCCACCAGCTATTTAGCAGGAGTGAATTACACTCGACGATGTGTATAAGGAATAAGGAGGAAGTAAATTAGGGTAAATAAGGTGGTGTAACTGGTGTAATTTACACTGGTGGACACTACACCAATAACGAACGAAAGAACCTAATGAATATGAATGCTATTTAACGAATCATAGACTTTTTAAGCGAAGAAAACCTTTTATATACCCGATTTTACATAAATATTTAGCAAATTCAAATTGTACAACATTTCTGTCTTTTTTCAAAAGTGCCTACAGCAGTACAACTACATAACTAGTTGTACAACTTTTTGAACAATTGTACAACAACTGGTTGTACAACTTTTTGAACAATTGTACAACTTTTTAAACAATTGTACAACCAGGAACAACACTGTTAGACCACGTTAGCAACAGATATATTTTGAGAGAAAAAGCACCAACAACAACCACAAAAAGTTTAAACAAAAAAAACAGTAAATAAAGCCCAAAATCGAGAAAATAGTATAAAACACACGTTGCAGAAGGCTATCCATTCATTCACTCTATCTCTTTTAACTCCAAACGATGTTTTTAGCGTTCGTTTATTCGGATTAGTGACAGTTCAACACGCTTAATGGTCAGTTAAAGGCACCCTAAAAACTCCACTCCTTCACCTACTAAAATTAACGTATTAGACATTCCAAACAAAATGGATGCCCGTGAGTTATGATATGGCAACCCTGGCTGAGTTCGGTTTGGCGTTCGCTGTACTCAGAGTGCATTCGGTATGCCTCAATTGTGGTCGTCTTGGCACTGAGATCGTACTCTTTTGTGTTCAACTTGCCACAGATCACGTACTCAGAGCGCGCTCACTCTTCCCCGAGTTGGCCGGTGGAGATCAATGGATATCTGTAGGAATGTGTCAAAAATGTCAAATGTCAATATTCTATTCTTATGATTAATCAGTTTAACACGTATTATTTCTTGTTTGTTTTTGTTATAACTATTCCCTATTTGACTAAAATTATTTTTTTACAGTCCATACACACCCACAAAAGTTTATTCAAGTGCAAACTATCACTAGTGTCATTTGTCATTCCCCTTGTGTTCGTCTTGAGATTGTAAAAAGAGCGAACTCTGTCTATGACGTCACGCACTCCATGCGCGCTCTGTCCGATCCGTCGAGTTCCAAACCGAACTTACCCCCTGTGGATCTGGTGATTTGACAGGATCAACGATTTAGATAGTTACATAGATTGATCATCCACTATTTCAAAATAAACGTAAGCCTTAAAGTAAAAATGTAAGTCATTATTTTTTTTACCATATTTAAAGCTGAAAATTGATTTTAAAACACAGTTTTCGCAAAACGACCCGCTTTGAGCAATCTATATAAATCTATATATGTATCACTGATCCTGTCAACATTAACAGGTCCGCAGGGTTGCCATATCATAACCTGTCATTACCCACGGGCAACATTTTGACAGATCTTTGGAATGTCTATTAAAACCATGGAGGTATGATTAAAACGTATTTAGAACCTACCTGTGAAATTTGCGCAGTACTCTGCGCAACGGAGGTGGGCGTATGCGGTGCAGCGACGCTGGTGGCGATCTGCAGCTGCTGGATCTGTCCGTTGGGCGTCAAAATATTGGCGTACTGCGGCTGCGCGGCTTGGATGATATTCGGTGCGGCGAGTTGAACGGGAAAATGGATTGTTTGATATACGGTTTGTCCGTTTCCCGTCGATATGGGCACTTGGATGGGGATAGTTTGCTGCATTGGAAATTGGACCATTTGTGGAATGGAGGGGCGTACTGTGACGCTCTGACCGTTGGAGAGTTGGACAGTTTGAAGGTTTTGGAGGTTTTGAAGGTTTTGAAGGCTTTGGAGGTTTTGGATATTGGCGGGGATTACTGTGTTTGGTGCGCGCATTATTTGACTGGGGCTGAATATTTGTTGATGTTGTTGACCTAAAAAAAAAGTAAACAGTATATAAAATGCATAAAGTAAACCAAGTAAAGTACTTACCACCACCTAACGACATAGTGGGTATAAATAAGGCTTCTTGGCCATCGACAGTCACGGTTTGCATCGGTTGCATAACGTTGTACGCAAGCGCGTTCTGGCCAGCTGCGGCCGCAGCAGCATTAACCTGTTGCTGGAGGAGCTGTTGTTGTAACTGCTGGGGCAGGCCGACGGGCATGCTGACAACCTGCGGACTTGCTGCGACCGGTACGCTTTTGACATTTGAAGGCGTCGGTGTCGTCGACATGGTGCCTGTAGATGTCTCGTTCGACGTTGGACCGATTCGGCTGCAAGTGGCAGCCAACAATGCTAGTGGAGAAGGAGTTGGCTTGGATTCCTGCAAGAAGAGAAACGAGTTATGGTCTAACTAGAATATTCCTGACCCAGGTCGCCAATATTTAGATTATTTGTGAATTTGGATGGTTTTAGATTTGGAGGAACAACTACAGATGAATAATATTCAGGAGTCTTGAACAATAAACCACAATGCATTGCTATATCACGGATCTGTCTAAAGCATTTGACTGGTGTGAATCACACATTGTTAATAATCAAGAAACAAGATAAATATGGCAGATGAGTTGCAAATAAGAGTATTGTTTCTTATTTACCAAATATATAGGCAAGTATATATTACAGAAATAAACTTAGTAAACATTTATTAATGAAAATAGGCATCCCAAAAGGACCAGCTCTATGTTATTGGTCACTGTATACTAAGGTTAAGCCGTTATAGAGTAAGAGCAAAAAATCACTTCTAAAATTTCTACTTTAAAACCCTGTAACTTTTTTACTATCAATTTTGTACATAAGCAAGTTACCTTAAATATTAAATTGACTTATTTTCGACCACAGAAACTGTATCGAAAAATAAGTGTCCTGTGAGCACGTTTCTCGAATCACTGGACTAACTTTAACATGTCCGAAAGATACCGCATAAAGTTGTCAACATACTGTGAAAATTTCAAATTTTAAATCATTTTTTAGATGTTAATAAAAAACTATTTTAAAAAATCACACCCTATACATCAAAAATGAAACAAAATTGACCCATGTTTTATAAGACAAACTACTTTTCTATAAAATATCGGCTATAAAATCCTGACTATAATTTAAACCAGTCCTACGTTCACATGAGAGAATGTCATCGTTTCATATTCCCCCTAGCTCACCTACTTTTCAAAAATAAATTTAATATATACCTATTTACACTTTGAAAGCTCTAAAAATTAGGGTCGTGGAAAAATTATAGTGTGTAAAATGTGCACAAAACCCTTTTTTCACTCGTTTTACTTTGCGAAATTGTCACACAATCTGATATGAAAGATTTCTGAAATGTTAATAAAAAAATTATGATTGAATCACTCTGTATAAACTGTTAAATGATAAATCCGAAAGACATTTCATAAAGTTGTCACCAAACTGAAAATATCAATAAAATTAGTTAAAATCTCTGTTAGATAGGTATATAAAGTGTAAAGGAAAGGAGGACAATCTCATGGTTGTTTATTTCAAAAAGTATCCAACCAAAATCAGTAAATAAGGTTTCAGAAAGTTACCACCAGAATGGCGCTTGTGTAGTAGAAGGAAAAGACGATGAAACGTAATTTCTGGGTTTTCACGATGTAGTTTTTAGTCTATACCCTTCAGCATATCTACCCTTTTATTTAGGTACATATGGGTGAGCTATCTATATAACTATTGACATCATTGATATGATTTTTGACGTTGCTCTGGTAACGCCATCTAAATTTTATACATTTTGAGCAGTGTTGCCAGATTTACGATAATTATAGTATGTGTACGATAATTTTAGATTTTGTAAGATGTACGATAATACATGTACGATAATTTCGCCAGGTAACAGGTTATTATTTTACTAATACAGGTACAGGTCCAATTTTTCAACTCCATAACGTATTTCAGAAAAATAAAAACAAGAAAACACTAATAAATATCTAATGTAATGTTTGTTGACTATCTAATCTGATATATAATGCTTTTGGTCATGTTCAAAATGGAAAGCACCTGCAAGTATGCAACCATTGTTACATCAGTTCAGTAAAATACTTCTAGACGAGATATTAATTGGGGGATTCACTAAGAAATTGTTTTCATGTCGGTAATTTACATATATTGACATATTTCGTATTTGTCATTACGTCATTATATTTATACAATCCCAGAAAAACGTCTACATATTCTCAAAACCAACCCAAACTGTCCGACGCTACTGATGAAGATGAACCTGATTTTATTTTTAAACTAATTGTAGAAATAGGAAACCTATTAGAGATTTTTTTATTTATATATATTCCGTAATAAAAATGTATTTTGCAATTTCCTTTTATTTTTTATACCTATGTAGGTATATGATAAATTTCATCATTGTCCGATATTTCACATCTCATCTGGCAACACTGATTTTGATGGACACTTTTTTGTAAAAACCTACCTAATTAAGTAGGCTATTAGACATTCCAACGACCTGTCAAACAATAGGTGCCAGTGGGAAATTCTTGTATATCTAAGGGGGTAGCGACATAGTCTTGCATCTTGGACGCTATTTTTATTCGAAATTGTAATCGCCAAGCCTGCTAATTTATGAAGAAATGTATAAGCGGGTTTTTTAAATATTATTTTAATTGTGTTTGGCATAAAATATTTAAATGTAATCCATTATTCATGATTTTACGTATAGTAGATAGAATACATCGTAGGTCGCAACCCTTAGATATGTCAAACCTTCCCACTGGCAATTCATTTGTTTGGAATGCCTAATTGGTTCATCTCGGGCTTCATTTTAATTTCGGCCAATGAGAAAATTACATGAAAATTATGAAATGGCTGCCGATAATGCATAAGTGAAAGAACTATTTTTTAAGAAATAATAACATTGTGATTTGTGTTTCTGTGTTTTAAATATGAAAAATTAATTATAATGTTAGGTAAGTTGTAACTACATTTACTATAAATAAATTTTCCAATCTCTAAACTGAAGCTTTGGCTAATATTATGTGTTAGGTGTTAGGTATGTACCTACCTACATCAATACAAAAAAATGCATTTTTTTAGTAAGATTTTTTGTTGTATGGTACCTAAAACAGCTTTTCTTTTTTTTTAATATTTGCTAGTTAGGAAATATCCTTCCTTTTTTGGTCTCAAATGAGTTAATTTTAAATTGAATAAAAAAAATGTTTTTATCAAAATTCAACTCAAAAAATTACATCTTTGCAATAGGTTTTATACTTTTTAAGCATATTAAGAGCCAGATATTGTATTAAAAATAAAAAATTTACAATTTCAACTATTGATTAAACAAAGTGATCCAGTTTTCAGAATAACACGGCTCTTGCTACCTATCTAATGAAATCTTTTTTTGGATGACAAAGTAGAAAAATAAAATGATCCTATGGATTTTAAGGCAATTGCAGTACAAATTTTAAAAACTTTATTTCACCGTTTCTAAAATATTTTTGATTACAATTTTGTTCGTACAATCATCCAATAAATTTAAAAAATGGATTTCACTGACAAGATTGAGCTTGTAATTTATAAAATTGTAAAACACCATCGGCGCATGCCTGACGTAGCGCGGTGGCCATTTACTGAGAAACCAGACAAAAATGTAGGCATGGGCGTAACATAGAATGGGAATATGAGTAAAATAAGTTAAATTTTGATATTTAGAGTAAGTATTTTTTTAAATTTTTTTATTTATTGACGTAATTTAATTATTACTGATTACAATCATTATTTTTAATGGCGACATTAAAATTATTCGATGTAATTGTGACTACCGCAGCATACGGGGTATTTTTAAATACAGGGTGATCCAGTTTATATCCTCAGGAGTTTACTAGCCGATAGTTTATTGAAAAATAAAGGTAGTGTATGCGATAATGATCCATTTTTTCCTTTTTGATGCAGTGTTTTTTAAATAAAAATAGTTTTTTATTAATATCTATGAAAAGCGTCGTTGGATTTTAATAAAATTTTCAGATTTTGTTAAAAATTTTATGAAATATCTTTCGAACATATTACAGTTGATTTAGTAATTCCAAAGGCGTGCTCACGGGGCACTTGGATTAGATTTTGACTCAAAACATATAGCCCAGTAGAGTTTTTATATTTTTCATATTATTTTTGAATAAAGTAACTAAAATTACAACTATTTTTTCCTAAATTACTTTGTTTTCGAAGAATAAATTAAAACTAATAATTTTGCACGTCTCTGAATACTGAATACATAAAAAAAGTGGATAAACAAAATAAGAAAAAATAACACTATTCTTGTATAGGTGAAGTTACAAAAATAATTTCTTCTTCTTTTTGTAATCCTTTCTGATTTTCAGCTTCAAATTGTTTTTGTTTATACATTTTTAAAGATGTCATAAATACGCATTCATTATCCAAAGGATCCCGCATTTTACACAGGTGTGAAGTTATTCAGATCTACAAATTTACACTGAGAAGAATATAGTATCGTAATAGTCATATAACTTGGTTCAAATGACATGTAGAGACTTTTCATTTGCAGATTTCTATTGGGGTGGTTTCAATACATAAAAAGCATACCCGCAATTACCTTTTGATCCATCTGAGGGGGTGCAATTGGGGTAAAATTTAAAGAAAAAATCATAGAAGCCACAAATGGCTTTGTACACCTCTTTTCTTGGGATATGCTATGTATGCTCTTATCTTCATCTATGATACCATGCTGGAGTTTGTCGAGCCGTCTGAGGGGGTGCAATTGGGGTGAAATTAAACAAAAAATCATAGAAGCGACAAATGGCTTTGTACACCTTTCTGCTTGGTATATCTTATATAGTTTGCTCTTTTCTTCATCCCTAGTACCATGCTGGAGTTTGTCAAGCCGTCTGAGGGGGTGCAATTAGGGTGAAATTAAACAAAAAATCATAGAAGCGTCAAATGGCTTTGTACACCTTTCTGCTTGGGATATCTTATGTAGTTTCCTATTTTCTTCATTCCTGATACCATGCTGGAGTTTGTCAAACCGTCTGAGGGGTTGCAATTTGGGATGAAATTAAAAAAATCTAAGAAGCCACAAATGGCAGTGTACACCTTTATTCTTGGGATATGCTATGTATTTTGCTTTTATCTTCATCCCTGATACCTTGCTGGAGTTTGTTGAGCCGTCTGAGGGGGTGCAATTGGGGGTGAAATTAAACAAAAAATCATAGAAACCACAAATAGCTTTGTACACCTCTCTGCTTGGAATATGTTATGTAGTTTGCTCTTTTCTTCATCCCTGATATCATGCTGGAGTTTGTCGAGACGTCTGAGGGGGTGCAATTGGGGTGAAATTAAACAAAA